TGTATCATGTGTTCGGCAATAGAGCTGCCGGACAGTGTTTCCAGAGATTGAAGTCCTGAAAAAAAATTAACCAAACGGGAAGCCCCTGGTGCGGTTTAGGCCGCGTGTTGGCGCGTGTCGTAGTTGTGCCTCCCCCTTCCCATCTGTGCCCATGGTATTTTTAATGCGTAATGATGTACGCATGGCACGAACAACGTCGTTGGGCTGGGATTGGGGTGGCCGTCGTATTGCTACGCGAGCTCAGATCGCGCCAGGCGGTCTATTTGCCGATTGCCCCGAGCGCGCTTGAAGGTGTTCGGGCTTTGAAACGCCGAACTGGTAGATTGCCTTGAGAGGCTGCTTCGTGCTTCTGCTGCGAGGGACGTGGTGTGCTCCTCTGTTCGGAGAGAGCGCTCTATGTTTCCATTGACTGTAATAACTCCGTGAGGTCTTGGCATCTTGAGCTTTGAGGTATGCATAATGTGGTATCGCATTGAATCTAGCGAATGCGGTTCGTCCGAGCAGTGCGTGATAACCACTGCGGGACGGGACTATATCGAAGATTAACTCTTTGCTTCGGAAGTTATCCAGGGATCCGAAGACCACTTCCAGTGTAATTGAGCCTGTGCAGTGGGCCTCTACGCCTGGAATGACGCCTTTAAAGGTCGTCTTTGTGGGTTTGATCCTTGAGGGGTCTATACCCATTTTACGCATTGTGTCCTGATAAAGCAGGTTCAGGCTAGTGCCGCCGTCCATGAGGACTCGAGTGAGGTGAAATCCGCCGATGATTGGGTCTAAGACCAGTGCGGCAAATCTGCCGTGACGGATACTAGTGGGGTGGTCCCTGCGATCAAAGGTGATCGGACAGGAGGACCAAGGGTTGAACTTCGGGGCGACTGGCTCCAGCGCATATACATCCCTGAGCGCACGCTTCCGCTCCCTCTTGGGGATGTGGGTTGCGTATATCATGTTCACCGTCCTCACTTGCGGGGGAAACCTCTTCTGTCCTCCAGTCTGCGTCTGCCGGGGTTCTTCCTCTTCTGTCCTCCATCGCTATGTGGCCCCTTGTCCTTGTTTTCAGTAATTAACTTGCTGGCCTGCTTGAACACCCAACAATCCATGTTGGTGTGATTGGCTGACTTGTCTGGGGTGCCGTGTATTTGACACGAGCGATCGAGTATATGGTCCAAGCTGGACGGACCCGGCGAACTTTGTTTGAATGGCTTTTTTCTGCTGACCGGGTTTAGAGCCTTTGAATCCGGCATTGACTGCCGTATCCTCAGTACTTTCGCCGTTAATGCGGCGCTTATGCTTGTTGCGACGTGACCTGCTGTTGCCGTCCTTGGTATCTGAGATACCATGGTTCTTTGATATGTTGTTATTGCGAGCCAACCAGCTGTCTTCTTCCGCACAAAATCGGGTCATGAGCGTCGTGAGGGCTGCCATAGATTTCGGCTTTTCCTGACCAAGGTGCCGGGCTAGCCACTCGTCTCGGATGTTGTGCTTGAAAGCCGTTAAGGCCTCCGCATCCAGACAGTCCATGATTTGGTTTTTCTTTGTAAGGAACCGAGTCCAGAATTGCCTGGCCGATTCTTCTGGCTGCTGAATTATGTGGCTCAAGTCATCGGCGTCTGGTGGTCGCACATAAGTGCCGTGAAAGTTGTCGAGGAATGCGGCTTCCAGATCTTCCCAACAGCTATTTGAGTCCGCTGGCAAGCTATTAAGCCAATGCCGTGCTGGTCCTTTGAGTTTTAGTGGGAGGTACTTGATGGCATGTAAGTCATCACCGCGGGCCATGTGGATGTGGAGGAGGAAGTCCTCAATCCATACCGCGGGATCTGTTGTGCCGTCATATGATTCAATGTTTACAGGTTTGAAACCTTCTGGGAATTGATGTTTCATTACTTGTTCTGTGAAGTATAAGGGGTGTGCGGCGCCTCTGTATTGGGCTATATCGCGACGCAGTTCGTATGGGTCCTGCCCCCTGTGTTCGGCCCAGCCGGATTTGGTTTTACTGTATCCGGCATGACGTTTACTGTCTCGTAGAGTGGTGCGCCCTCGTGATCCGTAGATCGACCTTGAATTCTTTGCTTTGTCCTCCAATATGTCTCGCAGGTCTGGCGTATCTCCCCATGCCTTTTTATTTGGATGGCGTTGGGGTGGAGGCTGAGCTTTCAGTATGAATGCCTCTCTATCTCGGCCACGAGGTGGCCGATCAGCCGTATCATACGCTTCTTCCTCCAGTTAGGGTAGTAACCTGCGCCTTGGGTAACTCTTGGAGGGACGCTCGAGTTTATATTCCTCAGCTGCGAGGACTTTAGTCCATTTGTCAGCTAGCAGATTTTGATCAGCTTGAAGCTGCTGCTGCTTTTTCTTCAGGCTATTTGCCGTGGGCATAAGCCTGCGCTTGAAGCGCCCTTGTTTGACGGGATCCTCTGGTACGACGAATTCATCGTCGCCGAGGCTTGCCTCGTCTTCGGAGGGGGGCATGTAATTGTCATCCTCGTCCTCTCCGCCAGCCGCTCTCTCAGGAGAGCTGGCTCCTTCATGCTCCTGATCTAACTCTTGCTGGAGGGGGTTTTCGTTGTCTTCGGCGCTATCCGGAGTGTTATTATCTCCTATGCCGGTATCACCACTTTTGCTTTGGCGGGACTTAGAGCGGCGCCGCTGACGTCGGCGCTTGGGTTGCTTCTTGGAGGGGTCATCCTCCGCTATCTCGTCGCCGTTGCCTTCATTGGGTGTGTCCACCATGTATATGTCATACGATGAGGTGGCTTTCCAGTGCCCTATAGGTGATGGTTCATGTTCGTCTCCTACATTGTCATCCATACCGTCGATGTTTTCGGAGTCGAAGTCGAGCATGTCGGTTAAATCATCGATAGTGGCTACAAAGTGGGTGGTGGGTGGGCGTCGAATTTCTTCGTCGTCCGCATCCCAGTCCTGTTGGCCATGGTCCGGCCAGGGCTCTCCTGACAAACAGAGAGACCTTAGTGAATTCAGAATGTCACCGAAGGGCGGGTGCTGAAAGATATCCACAGCGGTGAATTCCATGATCGGCGCCCAGTCGGATTCGATTGGCAGGGGCGCGGATGGTTCGGGGTCCGGAGGAGAGTCCGGCATCTTGGAGTCATGGGCTACGCAGAGGATTATACTGGTGTTCGGCTCGATCGCCGCTGAGACTGCAACCCCTGAGGCGGTGTCTAGCCACCCGTCCTTGATTGGTGCAGCTGGCTCCGAGCTAAGGGTCGGAGCTGATGCGGGCGCGGCCTTTGGGGTACCGTCCGATGGCAGAGCTAGGTCATACCCATCGCGACAGTGCGGCACGTCCGGCTGTGGCTCGAATCCGTCGAAGATCAAGTCCCCACGGATGTTGGCTGTGTAATTCATACTTCCAAATCTGACCTGATGGCCAGGGGCATAGTTTTCAATCTTCTTCAGATGGCCAAGCGAATTAGCCCGCAGTGCAAAGCCGCCAAATACGAAGATCTGTCCGGGGTGAAAAGTCTCACCCTGGACCGCATCGCTATCGATGATAGTAGGAGCCATCAAGCCTAACGGCGACGACACAGAGGAACTCTCAATGAAAGCACCAATGTCGGTGTCAAAACTGGCGGATCTCGGGTAGGGGGTCCCGAACTGTGCGTCTAGGCCGGATGGTAACAGGAGGCAAGGGACACGAAGTTTTACCCAGGTTCGGGCCCTCTTGATGGAGGTAAAACCCTATGTCCTGCTTGATTAATATTGAAGATATGGGTGTTACAAGAGTAGATCTACCACGAGATCAAAGAGGCTAAACCCTAGAAGCTAGCCCACGGTATGATTGTATGTTGTGATTGTTGTCCTACGGATTAAAATCCTCCGGTTTATATAGACACCGGAGAGGGTTAAGGCTACACAAGGTCGGTTACAAAGGAGGAGATATCCATATCCGTATTGCCTAGCTTGCCTTCCACGCCAAGTAGAGTCCCATCCGGACACGAGATGAAGTCTTCAATCTTGTATCTTCATAGTCTAACAGTCCGGCCAATGGAGATAGTCCGGCTGTCCGAAGACCCCCTAATCCAGGACTCCCACACATGTCATGATCATCGCATTACCTGTACCTGCAACTGTTGGTGTAGTAATCTATGAGCCACGAGGACTTAGCAATCCCATTACCATGGGTAAAAACTAGCAAAGCTTAATGGGTATGGAAAGGATAAGTGATGAGGTTGGAGCAGCGACTAAGCAATGTATGGTGGCTAACTCACGAGTACAAGAGTAAGATGAGAAGCTACGCAAACGGTCGCCAACTAGTCTTTCCATAATAATAAAGCTTCTACCCGTTTGCTCACCATCGCGGTAATTTTGCAGAAAAGTCCCTATGAATTTGATATTCAACCCGCCATCCTGTTTTAAGTGGCTAATCTCAGAAAATGTTTCATTTTTTTGCAAAAAGACCATGTAGTTGTGTATATTCAACGCGCGATTTATGCATATGGTTTTCCAAATCGGGTCAACGCAGTGGCTAGAGCGATTTGGGTTGGCGGCGGCGGCTGGAGCTTGCAGGTGGCGGATCCGTATGCGGCACGAGCTGGGGAGGCGGGTGACAAGGCGTGGGTCGCCGGTGATGACAAGCAAGGCGGAAAGCGCCCGAACCAGGATGGATCGAGGCCACGGCCTTGCACGCCTCTACCTCCTCTGCTGCCGAGCGCATGGCCCGCCTTCATCTCCTCCACCCCGCCGGCAAACCCAGCCATCGAAGCTTCCCCTCACGCACCTCTTCCCTGCTCGTCCTCCTCTTGGTTGGATTGGGCGCCGCTGGTGCGCTCGTTCACCTCCCATGGATGGAGCAGAAGGTGGCCGGGGCAACGCGAGCGAAGCAGAGTAGCACGGCATGAGTTAGCGGGCATGGGGGCGCGAAGCAGAGGCAAAGGCGGCGGCTAGCGACGGACTTGGCATGACGGCGGTGATCCGATCGGGTCAGAACGAGGCAGGGGTGATGTGGTGGAGGCCCGGCGGCGCGGCTTCCTGCGGGTGCCATGGCGTTGGGTCGGCTCCTGTACACATCCGAGACAGAGAGGGAAAGATGGTGGCGAGGTCGGACGGTTCACCGGGGCGGCAACGGTTGCCGAGACGACATGGCAGGGAGGCGGTGTCGCAGGGCTGCTGGTGGCGGGGACAAGAGGAAGGCGGCAACACTGTCGGCCGGTCGGGTGACACAAACCAGGCCACGGGTGGCGCGGCCACTCCGGCGAGTACGAATAAGGGCTTAACCACAAGTTGATCCATTCATCTCTACTCTTTTCTTACTTACCCTGGTCCTCATGCGCCGTGTTCTTCAGCTACAGAAATCGCTCATTCTCCATGTTATTGAGTCCATCTGAAGTTCAACACTTAGCTCTTGTGCTCTGCATTACCTGATATTTCATCTGATTGAGGGTAGTGGATTTGCCCTTCCTATAATCAGCGACACACGACTCCTCCTCCTAGCCCCGGATCTTTTGCCCTTTGCCACCTGCGATCGTGGTTTCGATGATCCACGACGCGATAGAGCTTGAGCGGGCTCCTCGAGAATATCGGTCTTGTGAAGGCTCGTCATGCTGCTGCCGAAGTTGAGGCTGAGGCCATCGACCGGCGCAAGATCGAGCAACAGAGGCTGAGGCCCACCGGGAGCTGGAGCAGATTCTTCATACGGTGGAGTTGAGCGACCCACTCATCGATCCTAGATGTGCTCAGGTGAAGCTAGGGATGCGATCCATCCTTCTCGGAGCGGATGAATCAACAGAGGATTCAACCGGTCCAACAAGTGAATTCAGGCTTGATTAATTAGCATTGGCATACGAGTGTCTTGTGCACATGTAGTTTAGCATTAAAGCTTCACTGATGCAGTATTTTACCCATATATCCATTTGCAATCAACATCCTTTTTTGCTTCAAATGGTCAAATGTTGCCTTAATATTGTAGGATACTGGTCTCGTGCTGCTTTGTGCTAGCTGTAGGATCCGATGTTTATCTGTTCTTTTGGTGATATAGGCAAGGGAAATGACTACCGTTCCAAGGTCTCTGGTCTGGGAGCTTGTGAAGAAGAGCAAGTGCTTCTTGATCAAGCGGTTTGGCAACTGCAATGCCAAGGTCCAGTTTCGCAAGGACCAAACGACCTCTACAATGTCTGTTACTACAAGTTCTTAGGTCCGTAGCTCTTTACACTTGCACTGTTCTTGGCGGGCTCAAAGATATTTATTAGTTCCTCAGCAAGGCGCTAACTTGTTGTGGTCTGATGTGGTTTTTTAGGCTTAGCAAACAACAAGACCGTGGCGGTCCAGCCATCAGCGGGAGAGGAGAAGGCTGTTGTCCTATCCACGAGCAAGACCAAGAAGCAGGACACCCATGCCAAGCTGTTGCACAAGACTCTAATGCGCAAGCAGTTCCGCAAGATGGCAGGTCTGTCCAGAACCAGGTACTAACAGCACAAAAATTCTTACTTGAAAAGTTAGAATGCACATGTTATGCTTGGTTTCTATGCTGCAACTCATTTGTTTGTGCACCTGCTCTTATATACATTTAACTATTTTTCTGGATTGTACTATTAACATTTAAGAAGTTTTTCTGTCATTGGGGAATCTGTTTTGGTCTTTTTTAATTGGTAACCAAATGTATTGCTGTGATGAGCCGTAACAATAAGGATAACAACGGATCAATTGGTTATTCAATGAAATGCTTTTTACGCTTGGCATTTAGCTCAACCGATTAATAAAATTGTTTTTGTTGTATATTAGATTATTATGCAAACAAATTTCACGTTAGTGAGCACATATTAGATTACTTTCACCCGTTGCAACGCAAGAACATGGAGTTATTCTCGTGTTAAATTTTTGTCGGGGGTTGGGTGCGACATATGCCAAAGGATGACTTATCATGGTGGGGCCGAGTAGAACGTCGCCGGTGCCTGGAAACGGGATGAGGCGTAGACATGCATGCCGGCGAATCTTACCCAGCTTCAGGGCTCTCCGGGGAGATAACACCCCTACTGCTGCTCTGCGGGGTCTCCGCATGATCACTATGGCAAAGTGTTTACACGATCGCTCCTTGATCTGTTTCCTGGAGGTAGGAGAGGGCGAGGCTAGCTCTCTCCCTCCTATATGATCTGGTCTAAAGCTAATAGGTTCCAACCCTTTGCATGGGTGCCCTGGGGGGTTTATATAAGCCTACCCCAGGGGTACAATGGTAATCTGACTGGACACGGGCCCAGCCGTCAGTGTCTCCGACCTCCGTCTTCTCCGCCGACTGCTGGGGCCCGCCGACTGGTGGGCCCCGCCGACTAGCTAGGTACGGAGCCGATAGGCCGCGTCCTCCGCGGGCGGGTCTTGCCGGCTGCTGATCACTGTAGCTGTGCCTCTGATGACGCGGGCTTGGTCATGGAGTCGTGACAACAGCCCCGCCGCCTGGCGGACGATCACTATTGCCACTCTCCGTCACATCTGATTAATGGCGTGCGGGCCCGGGGGAGGATCTGGCCGACTCCCGGGAGCTGACTCCCAACGAGTCCGACCGGTGGCGCACTTGTTGTCTTTTAGGGTCCCGCTGGCTGGTGGGGCCCGCTGCCCCAAGGCCGTACAGACAAGCCGTCGTGGGCGCAAGATTCGGTCCACCGGTGCTGATGGCAGGGCTGGCATGGCAACAGTGCCACGCCGCACGGAGATCTCCACGAGTACGTTGTACTGTAGCCATGCCAGCCTCGGAAAAGGGGTGGGAGCAGTCTTCACTGTAGCCACTCCTCTGTCCTATCCCTCTTGATGAGGACATGGGGTTTTGCTAGAGTTGCGGGCCGACTCCCCAAAGCCGACTTCTCTGGAAGTCGCCAGTCAGGAGTCGGCTTATCCTGAAGTCGTCCCTGGGACTCGGCCGCGAGTGGGCAGTCGGCCGTCTTGCCGTCGTCTTCTCAGAAGGCGGCTTTTCGTCCTAGAGTCTTGAGGGGCGCAGCCTGCCCCGATGTATTGAAAGGTTCTGGGGCTCGGGTTGACCTACCCGTGGCCCATTACTCCGACAATTTTCTAATGATGAGAATGAGCTAGCCAACATCGCTGAGCTGCTGAAATTGCGCAAATTTGGTGTAGTTATTCATGGTAGAAATTCCAAATTAAGTGGTATATTTTCCAGATTAAGAAACTGCATACACGCCTTCGTCAATGCATAATCGAACAGCCGTCAGGTGCTGATGAGTGGACTACTGAAGTAGGGGAAACACACTTAAGTTTGTTATCCACTATTTCTTCAGAAGCTAAACATCAGTGGCATCATAAGTGGGCTTCCTCATTTAATTCAAGAGATCTATCAAATTGCAAAGATAACAAGAATGAACATGAAATATCTAAAAGCAGATGACCCGAGTATCCTCTACTACTTTGGTTTAGGTGCTATTTATCCTACTCTGTGTTGAAATATGTTTTTCTTCCATAGATGCAAAGCATCCAGGATGTGATAAATCATACACTATAGAATGGCAAGGAGACCTTCTGTGACTGGATAATGGCATTTATATGTGGTTCAAGTCTTTTCACGGTGCAGTTGAACAAGAGAATTCTATCAAAGATAAGTGCCCTTTCAATATTGACATTGTTCTTTCTTTAGTGTAGATGCATGATATCACATGATTAAACATGCCAATTTTTTAACTTGATTTAGTTGTCTATATTATGCTCTATGTGCTATTACCAACAAAAATAGTACACCATAATATAAAATGTTATTACATGGATGAAGGGAGATTTTTAGCCTGCAAAGCAGCAAATCTATGCCCGGTGTGGCAATAATGTGTTTGTACCAGTTAAGGGAGAATTTATTTTTCACACTTTAAGAAACATGTCCTGTTTCTTCCCCATCATTTAAGTGTGTGGCATTCTTCTTTGTTTATGTTGCTAATAGGATATATTTGATTATGATGATGTTTCATACTGCTCCTATGGAGTCCCTCTTTGGACTGTTGGACGTGTATATCCAACGAGACTACTTTTCCGATTGTTGGCTAAAGCTATCACTATGACTGGAAATTTCTTTTCAGTCAAGTAAATTTATATGCTCAACAGAAACCAACGACATGTCAAAACTTATCGGCAGTTTGCAATCTTTATTAGACTATGCCTAATCCAATGGTTAGACAATGTTGTTATAGTTAGGCAATATAGAAAACATAGTCATGATTTATGTAGATTGGGCAGTCCCTTCAAAATGCATTTTTCAATCTTGAGTGGACAATTATATGTTTTCTTATAGAAAATTGAATATATGTTTGATGAATTGACTGATTGTTTTTGTCCTATCAGATTAAACTTGGTCTTAATTTGAAGGTACAATTTAGGCTGCTGGTGCTGGTTTGTTTATTGTGCTCCATTCGTCCAAAAATACTTGTCATCAAAATGGATAAAAAGAGATGTATCTAGAACCAAAATACATCTAGATACATACCCTTTTATCCATTTTGATGACAAGTATTTCCGAACGAAGGGAGTACTAATTATGCTTTGTAGACAGAGACATGTTGTCTTCCTCATTCCTTAGTCGTTATGAGCTAGGCATAGATCCGTCACCCGGTTAATCCTGATTTGTTGCAACATATGTTTTCTCCACACAGGTCTAAACAATGCAACCTCTTCTTAGCCTGTGGAAATATGATTCAGATGGAGGTTGATGGACTAGAGCAATTAAAGGGATGTGATATTTTCTTCTCCCATTGCAACACATGGCCATATGTTCTAGTAATGATCAATAAGTGATCCTGAACTATTTATGTTCAAACATAACCCTATCGTGTTCTCTTCTCGAACGCACCCGAAAAGAGACTGTCACAGTTATGCAACACGGTTGGTGTATTCTAATTGAGTTTACTTCAAGTCCTCTACAACCGGATATTAACAACTTCCCATCTGCCACATAACCACGGGCACGACTCTCGAAAGTTTAAACCCTATAGGGGTGTCCCAACTTAGTCCATGACAAGCTCACGATCCGCGGAGACAATCCTCCATCGCGGGACCCTCTGATCAGACTCAGAATCCCGGTGCACAAGACATTTTGACAATGGTAAAGGAAATCCAGCAAGACCTCCCAATGTGCCGACACCCTGATAGTAGCCACGCGTATCTCATCTCAGGCCACGACAGATGAGCTAAGCGTACAGGTACCAAAATACCCCAAGTTACCAAGGGGTGGTCCCGCACGGTGCTCTAGTTTGGGACCAACACCATCAACATTGGCCCCCCTGTATGTAGAAAAGAATCATCGGGTTCATGAAGCCCTATGCCAATGAATTATTTAGTTCAAGTATTATTATGGCAAATGTTAAAACCAATGTTGGGCCTTGCTGGAAGAGTTTTATTCAAAGCAAACTATCAAGAGGGGCCCATAAACCCTCATCGTGTTAGGGCGCAAATCAAGGAAGATAACAACGGCATGACGGAAACTAGGGCGGCAAGAGTGGAACAAAACACCAGGAATAAGGCCGAGCCTTCCACCCTTTACAAAGTATATAGATGCATTAATCAAATAAGAGGTCTTGTGATATCCCATGATATCCATGTCCCAACATGGAACAACCTACAACTGCACCTGAAACTAGCAACACTATAAGAGGGGCTGAGCAAAGCGGTAACATAGCCAAACAACGGTTTGCTCGGATGGTGGAAAAGCTTAGAGGATATCATGGCAATTTGGGAGGCTTGATAAACAAGTGATAGGTAGCGGGACATAGCGATAGCATCGAGACAACTAGCAAAGCAAAGATAGTAGTGGTATCCACGATAACAGTCATCTTGCCTGAAATCCAGCTAGGAAGAAGAACGAGTCCATGAAGTAGTCGAACAATGTAGTCGAATGGATCCTCACAATCGCAATGTAACCAGAACTATCAAGGAGAAGCGCAACCGGAAAGAAGGAAACATCATGGTAAACAACCATCACGTAAACATGTCATGATGCATAATCAAGTATGATGCATGTTCGGTTTAAATAGCATGGCATGGCAAAGTGCAACAAACACTACTACAAATTAAGTGGAGCTCAATATGCAATGAGTTGCATATTGAAAAAACACCACATTTAATTATTTAGTTCTCTCCTGTTTATGTACCCATCAATATTAAATGTTGTTAAACATGGCAAGAGGTGAAACGTAATTAAACTAACTATTTAGGAAAGTTTAAGTGAGGCTGGGAACAACAAACAACAATTCCGGTAAATCCCCACATGTCATTTAGCAATTTAAAGCAAACACCAATTTTAACCATTTTAAAAGTTTTTATCGTGATGTGGATGACATATTACAGTTTTATGCAATTTTATGAAAAAGTTGACATGATCAAGATAAGAGCATTTGTCGCCATGACGGAATGAAAGGGTGCCACGACGACGACAGCGGGAATGGTGCAACGGTAACATTCCGATGATCCGGCAATTCGTGGAAATGCCGGTGCAAAAGAACAAGTGTGCGGATGTGCGAAACATGCTAGCGATGGTGGGGTGATCCCGGTTACCGGGTTCCCACATGTCAATGGCATGGAAAACGAGCAATGAGCAAGCGACGATTCGAATATGGTGCAAACATGGGCATCTCATACAACACATCACATGCATACGGTCCCCGGGCGTCGTCTCGATGTTATACCTTTGAAGCGTGCATTATTGGAACGGATCAAGTTCGGAGCAGTGTAGAGGAAGTAGACGTTCTCGCGATGATAGTGGAAGTAGTGGTATAAGTTCGTTTCGGAGAGGTACTTAACGAATCCAAGGTTTCCGGGGGTGACGGTGGTGGAACTTGACGAATCCGAGTTCTTCGGAGGTCGTCACCGAACTTAGTCAAATACACGGCATGGGTAGTCGTTCACTCGACGGCCTTTGATGACAGTAGGCGTACACGTTTCGTAGACGTTCGAGTCACTGGTAAAGGAACTTGACGGTCCATGTTCTTAGGAGTCATCGAGTAGTCGTTTGCGTCGTAGTCGGGCTTGATGAAATACACCGGCTGTAGTGGTACACGGGTCGTAGATGTTCGGGTCATCGGAAGAGGTAATTGATGCATCACCGGGTGTAGTCATACATGAGGGTCTTGACAAATCCGAAGGGGTACTTGGCGTTTCGGATGCAGTCTCGTCGTTCCCGGTATGATGGTCTTGGTACGATCCAAAACAAAGCCTCACCAAAGGCCTCGACAGAAAGCTGAAGCAACAATCAGGGGCGCGACGGCTGTGTTCAGGACGACACGACTCGCCGGTGACGAGGAAGAAGCAGGGCCGAGCTCGTCGGGCGACGTGCGGGCCTTGACACCGAGGCGGCCATGGCTGGTGCTGAGGTGGAAGAGGCCATGGCGCGCTGGAGGCTTGGTTAACGTGAGGCAGGCGAGCGGGGGTGTAACGAGCTGCTCGTCCCCTGGCTCGGGCTCGAGTGCATGGGGAAGATGAGCGCGGAGCGACTCGGGGCTCCAGCGAGTGGGGCAGCCTGCCGGGGTCCTGGACGGCGACACGCGGGAGGAGCGAACGGAGATGGTGTTGGAGGCGCAGGGAACATGCAGACTGGCCGGTGCGAGCAGCAGCGAGCTCAGCGGGGCCTAGGCACAGACGAGGAGAAGGCGGTAGCGGAGTTGGCCGGAGGGCGCGGCGTAGCTGGAGGGCGGCATGGCGCGCGCGGGGCGGGGTCGGGCTAGGAGCACGGGAAGGAGGTGATCGGGACGAGGGCGCAACTGTTCTCTCTCGCTCTCTAGCGGCGCACATGAGGGAGGAAGGGATCGAGAGGGAGGTGGCGGCGCTACGGGAGGGAGAGGGAGACGAGTGAGGGAGAGATCAAGAGGAGGGAACGGGCTAGAGTTAGATAGGCAGGGGCCGGCTGGGCTGCGGGGGATGGTTAGGCCGGCCTGGAGGAAATGGGCTGGCCTCGCTGGGCTGCTCTATCTCTCTCCACTGCTATTAACTTTTCTTTAATCTATT